TTGTCAGTGAGTCCAATCTGCTGCAGTCTTTTGTTTTGACATTCTACATGCTCTGTTTCTATTGCAGAACGTTGTTTTGTCTGTGCAGCAGCTCATGCGGTGAAATGAGTTTAACTTCGTTTTCACATTTGTAAAGTCACTTTGTGGTCCAGTTTGAAAACAAAAGCAGAATTTTAATGTGTTGCCGTTCAGTAAACTTGTTTTATGATCTGCTGAGAGGTTCATGTTATCAGGAAACCTGTGAAAACCAGAGAAGAAATCCATCCATGTCCCCGGAGCCGCCCGTCACATCCGTCAGCGTCGACAGCGCTTTAAATGTAACAACTGTAGGAATGTCTGCGGTAACTTCACCGTGTTCCTCATGAAGCCCCCGTCCGCTTTGTCTTTCTGTCAGTCAGGTTTTCCTCCTCCATCTGGTCCTCATTTCCCTCTCTGGCTCGATCCGGCTCACGCAGATCTGATGTTTGATGAATCTGCAGCTCCGTCTGCAGCGACTGATATAAACACAGAGCCGCTCTACGGTCACATCCATTCATCTGATCCCTTATGAAAAGAGAAGCCAGTGTTTCTCTGGGTCGCCTGACCGCATCTCTCCATTTATCAGTGTCACTGCTGGATTAAACATAAAACACGAAACTGAGATTTTTCTTAGTAAAACATTGTTCAAAACCCAGAGACTTAACCGAGTTTGACAAGCTGGATGAAAGTGAAGAGAAATTTAAGATTCATCCTCCATCAGCATTAAACAAACCATCAGACCTGCAGCTGAAGTGTTTCACTGCAGCCATCATCGGTTTAATTTACACGGCAGCCATTTTAGATCTAGTGTTTGGCGTTCGTAAGGAATGTCCAGATCACACGTTATTAGAATAACCAACTTAAATGCAGATGATAAAGAACATAACATAATGAGAAGATAAAAATTACAAGAAAATTGTTTGCAAAAGTAAAAAGAAAAACATGTTTGCAAACCAGCTCAGCTTTAAACTTTAGATTAATTTGTGGATGAAACTTGTGAAGTTGTTCAGACTTAAACACAAACTTCAAACACTTCACAGTGTTTATGTGTCTGGAGGCGGGACAGTTTGTCTCAACGTCAGAAACACGTCCAACTTTAACAAGAGGATCGAAACTTCCTAGTTTTATCTGTTTGGCTGAGAGTCATGGAGCCATCAGGGGGGAAGGTTTCTGTCCAGTTAAAGTTGCAGTTAATGAGAGGAACTGGAACCAAGTCGGACCCACATGAGGGTCCAACCGGCGGTAACTCGTCCTGTTAAGGTCAGACCGAAGCTTCCTGCTGCGGCGAACGCTCAGTCTGAACACAGAGGCTTCATGGCTGCATGTTGAACCAAACTTCCCTGAAATGTTTCCTGGTGGATTCAGGTTCAGGGAAGCAGATTATCAGATTATCTGTTATCTGTTCGTCCTGGTTCAACGACTCGGTTCAACATCACAGTTAAAGCAGCATTTAAAAATGTCACTCGATCAGGGCTGAACGCTGTAGCAGCAGTTTGTTCAACAGCGAGATTCACTGTGAGAAACAATCAGCTTGTAAAAATAACAGCCAGTTTGTTTATTCAGCAAACTTTCCTGTAGTTGTAACTTCTATAATGAATCTGACAATATCTGCCTAAATATTGTCAGATTTTTCTTTTTTTTTTTTCTTTTTACAAAAACTTTAAAAAGCAAAATTATACAATAGAAAACTAAATTTGAACCTTTTTCAGACGCTCCTTTAAAATCAGGTCTGATTTTCCTTCTGGTCATTTCAGTTTTATTTCTCTGAGGCTGTTAAAGTCGGTATTAACAGCCGAGTCAGGGAGCAGGTGTGAAGTGATATTGATTCATAAAAACCAACGATGCTGCTGCTGTTTGCTGGTATCAACATGCATCTCTCTTTGATTGGGTAGCTTGTTAAAATTATCCTCCTGTGGATAATAATGCACAATTTATTCATCATTCATAATCCTGTGGACACCAAGCTTTGATTTTAAACTCTTATCATTTCAATCAAACTGTGAATCAGATCCAGAATGTAAACACCAACAATGATCACGTCTAATTACCAGATATTTCTTTGCTAATTACTACCAAAGATGATTTGTTAGTAATTATTTGCTATAATATTTGCTCAGAGACTCCGCCCCTCAGAGACCAACTGTCACCTGTTTCTACTTCCTGCAGAGGAAACGAGGCCCTGCTTTGTCCCTTTAACTCTGTCACCTGAGTCGCCCGCTGTGTTTGCATGCAGTTCTGCCTGAGTTATGATCCATTATGTGTCGTGTAGGCCTCCACCCGCTGTCTGGGCTCTTGTTTGTCATGTAAATACTTCAGCTCAACGTTCATTCCAGCGAATTTGCATCTGGGCTGAATGCAGGTCAGTCGGCCACGATGGAGGCGTTCCCCCTCAGAGCAGAGCCGGACGAATTCTGGCTTCATGTTCACTCATAAATAGTTTTCATTTCAAAACGAGGAAATAAAAAGGCATAAAAATTAAACCCCTGCTGTTTTACACACGGCTTATGAAACTAAGTGTTTTTAAGATTTACTGTGAAAGGAATGAAGCAATACAGGAAGAAAAACAATGAATATGTTCAGATTCTCCAATTCAGACTATTATAGCAATGTTAGTGTGAGATGGCAGACTGATAGATACACTGATATAAATATAAAACTCAGTTTAAATGAGTAACACAGGTGAAGTTTAGACTGCTTTGTTTCTTATTTTCATTATAAAACGAACTTTCAGGGTGACAGGCTCAAAATAATACTCTGAAAGTTCATGGCAACATTGTTTTCCTTCTGCAATAAAATAAACATTTTTCTCATAGTTTTCTCATACAGTTTCAGTAAATAATCCTTTAGAGAAAGAAAAAAATGTAATAATTGTGTCTCAAGTTCAATTAACCTTTAAATACTGAAGATGTGACGTTCGCTTGAAATGCTGCTTTATAATAAAAGGTAAAAACAAACTGCATTCAGGTAAAACTCAGCCTTGCTAAGGAAACATTAGTTTATGAAGCTAAAAAACAGAATAAAACTGATGCAGCTGCAGAAAAACAGAGCAGATAGAATCTGCTTTGTAGACGAGATCTATTTGCTCCGGCAGAGTTTCAGCATGTTGTCATCTGTCAGGATGAAATATGGTCACAATGTCTGAAGTCAGGAATTAATATCTAGAAATGTTTGAGTTAAGATTTTAGGAGTTAGCAACCAGCAGGCTGCAATTAGCAACAGAACCAGATGATCTAGACTGTGACCACCAGGTGAGAGACAGACTCACAAACCTGAAGAAGTTAAAACCCCACAGTCAGTTGAAACATTCACCTGAAAGCTCATTTTTATTTCTGAAGGTAGGTGGAGTTTGCCCTGTGAAGCTTTTGGAGCGGTTTCGTTTTTCTCTTCTCTCCTTCCTACTTCCTCTGGAAGGTTTCCTCCACCGTGCCTCAGCAGCAGCTCCAGCAGCAGCAGGTCCATTCATCCTGCGTCTGCTGGGGGGTTTCTCTGCTGCTGGTGCCTCACCAGTCGTGGGTGGATGCATGCAAAGTTTAGTCTGTATCTGTTAAACAGGCACCACGCACACAGAAGCTGCTGCTCCTGTCCTGAGGAAACCTTGAAGTGTTTCCAGTCAGATCTTCCTGGAATAGTTTGCACCATAAAAACCAGAACAAAGCAGTTTGATCTCATAAGAGGACGACTCAGGAAGAATGCTCTCTGAAGGTCTGACTCCATTAAAGGAATGAAATATTTATACTGAGCAGAAAACCTGTGTCTCTGGGTGTGTAAGCTAATGGCCAATGTTAACAGCTAACAGCTCAGTCTGTTTCTGTTTTTCTCAGACGGTTTCAGGTGTCAGAACGTCGAGCTGTTTGAGATGTTCAAAATGTCCCACCTGCTTTTCCTGCAGAATGGGTTTCTTCTTATTCTTCTTGCTCTTCTCCTTGAGGCATCGATCGATTGACTCTCCCTGCCTTAACCTGTTGTTGTGGGAACAGTGTGCACTCACTGCTTTAATGAGATTTTCACTTTCAGTCCGGGTTGCATCAGAGAAAACATCCTAAATCCGATCAGAACAGAAACGAGTAAAATGTCCCTGTTAACAATAACAAGATAGAAACACGGTTTACTTGGAGAAAACTCACCAGTTTCAGCTTATATCAGTGTTTTTATGATAAATATGTCAAACATTTTTGATATTCTGCTACTGTAAGCGTCCACCTCCAGGGTTTAACTCCATCCAACTTCACCAGCTTCTCTTTCCCAGATGAAGAGAAGCAATAATTGAATTTCAGACTCAGGTTTCCACTGCAGACACGTCTCCCTCATGGTTTCTGCCAGATTTTCTCTGTTTTTAGTGTCTGACCCGACTTGAGCAGCGTCTTCCACATGTCTGACGTTTCTATTCTTAGCACTCTGCCATTCTGACCAGATTATGGAGTGAACAGCTCATGCGTGTCCTTTCTGCTGCGTTTGGTCTTCATGCTGTTTTCTTGTGATGTTCTCCTAGAAACAAGCAAAGTCTTCTCAGAACAGCTGCTTCTGGTTGGGCTGGATCTGCTGCTGCAGCGTTTCAGAGCCGTTTTCTCCCAGACGCATGCACATGTTTGCTTTTTTTATTTCTCTTAGTCACCACCGCAGCACCGAAGCTGCAGCCAAGACATATTTTGGCATCACAAGCTTCTATTTCAGCAGTTTGGTTCGTTTTGCTTTGAACTCTGAAATGTGACGCTGGTTTGGAGCAATCTGCTGCTGCAGAGGTTTGGGAAAAAGAAAAGCAAAAGGTCACAAACATTTGAATGTTGGTCGCTTTGTGCAGGACCTCAGAGTTTTTAGCTTTATGTTTTCATATGCTGGGAAAGCATGGAGCAATCCTTCCTCCATCTTCACAGTAACACAAACATTTTTAAAAACTTTTGTAAATTTCCACACCATGATTTCCAGTTGTTCCTCAGCTGCATGTTGCCTGTCTTCACCGTTCCTCTCTTGTTGCGGCTCCTCAGACGTACATCGGCTCCATCCTGGCCGCGGTGAACCCGTACCAGCCGCTGCCCGGCCTGTACGACCGGCCCGCCATCGAGCTCTACAGCCGCCACCACCTCGGTGAAATCTCTCCACACATCTTCGCTGTGGCCAACGACTGCTACCGCTCGCTGTGGAGGAGGCAGCAGAACCAGTGCGTCCTGATCAGGTGGGTCATCCGGGTCTTTTTCCACCGAATCGCCGATACTCAGAAAAACAAATGCATAAAAGCTGAGATCGCTCTGGATTGTTTAATTGGAACCTAAACAAAATTGTCACATAAAGACGGTTGCAAAGTCGGCCTTCTATCATCAGCAAACATTTCCAGGATTAGAGGACTAGAGAAACTCATCCATGTTTTTATCTTTATTCACATTGAGTACTGCAATAGAGACTTCACAGGTCTGCCTAAAAAATCCAGAATGCTGCTGCAATGTTCTGACTAAAACCAGGAAGATGGAGCACACCACCCAGTTCTTCACTGAGAGAATAGACCTTAAACTGCTGCTGGTAGTTTATAAATCGCTGAACGGATTAAAAATCTGCTGCTGTTGGATCAAAACTTACAGAAAACTGCAAAACACTGATGAAAATATTTGATATTCATAATTATTTCGATGACTGCCTGATGTTTTATGGCATCTGACCTGCCTTGTTGCTGAAACCTGCTACGCAAATAAACGTAACTTGATCTGAACGAGGATAAATCTGCTAAGTTTTAGTAAAATTGCCCCTTCAGATTTTTTTTTTTTTACAGAAATAAAACTTTTCTCCACCAAACCACCTGGCATCTCTAACAGCTGGACTGGCAGCTCGCTCTCAGTCCAGCTGTGTGGTCTCTTCTACGCCAACTTTCAGTAAAAATTGCAAACACCTGTAATTTTCCCAAACTACGTATGATTATATAAAAGTGTGCATAAAACCAGCCTGTGGTGTCGTAAGCCTGTCCCTCCACCAGACGTTTGTCCTTTTGGTGGGAGGAAGTCGGTGCGTCGGCTGCAGCCGCTGTGGGTGACTGCAGATGATTTATTTCAGCTTGTTTGGGCGAGTAAGTCGTGTTATTGTCGGTCTTTTTGGCTGGACCTGAAACGCTGGAGACGCTTGGTGAGCCTCAGCCTTTTAGCTGGAGGCGACAGTCCAGCAGTTTTCTGACAATTAGCCGCCGTTGAGTTGAAAGCCGGCCGTTTCATCGGATAATCAGACACATGTGGGCCTTTAAAATCAACCTAAACACGTTTTACAACCTATAAAGTTAACGGCTGCTTCAGTTTCTGCGTAGCAAATTAATAAAATACTCACACAAAAACAGACAAAATAACTTAAATTGAAAGTTTGTTGTTTATTTTTAGAAATAGCAGCTCTACAGAACAATTCAATAAATATGAATATTATAAAAAATTCTGTTTACTTTATAGATTAAACATAAATGGATGTTTGAGCGACTTTGTTTCTGTTAAATATGGTGATTTTCCACTTAATGAAAAGAGAACATTGAAAACTACAACAAACCAGCAATTAATTACTTTAATTACAGAAACGTAGTCTTAATGAAAAGTTTAATATGTCAAAAGGTTCAAAAAGTTATTTTAATCTGACAAACAAGACTCAACTGGATGTTTAATCTAACTTATTAAATATGATTCCAAAAGCAATTTATGAAAAATAAAAATATTAGTATATATGTAAACAAGATAAATTTCTAAAAGAAAATTTAAATAATGAAATAAATAACTACTTCATTATCAAAACATTTAAACAAATGCATTTAAAAACTTAAAACAGTTTTTTTCACACAAAATGGTAAAAGGATGTTTTCTAATATGTTTATTACAGAAATAACCATTTGTAGGAAATTATCAGCATCACATTTAACTGCTTAATGTTTTTAATAGTTTTGATTGTCACAAACATTGAGGTTTATCGTTGATGAACGCAGCGTCTCAGATCGAAGATGTAATCAAAAGGAACCATGAAGAACTTCATTAAACCCAGTGGAGGTGTTTTTATGTTTAGGTCTTTGTAAATGAAGAACTCAGTGCAGTGAATAAAATATGTATTTTAATGGATAGTTTGCACTCAGTTTGCTTTGACCTGATAAACCCAGTAGAGTTTCTGTCCTGCGTTGCTGTGAGTGAGACGCTCTGAAAGCCGCGTGCCGCCGCATGCAGTCTCTTCTCACCTCGGTCGGCTGCGGGTGTATTTTGCCTCTGTCCTTCTGTTAAGGGAGCAGAAAGGCCTTTTGTGTGGCAGGATGTCGGTCAGTGGGAGGAATATGCGCCGTGGCGCAGCAGAGCAGGCGTAAACACAAACATGTCCCACTGCTGCACAAAGCTGCGTTTCTGTCTGCAGATCTGCTTTGTGTTCCTTCACGTCTTGCTGATTCCTCTGACTTTTATTGCTACAACAAAGCTTCTGCTTTTCAGGAAGGAAATCATTATTTCCTATGGATTTAACACGTTTTAGACTCATTTTAGAGGCCTGGAGTTTATAAATCTATTAGTGCACCACAGAATGTGACCTGAAGAGGAAGAAAAGAGTTTGGTTGTGTTTCTGTTCCATGACAGCAGAGCGGTGAGGTCGGCCTAGAAGGAGAAACCACAGACCACAGTCGTGACCTTTTACTGTAGTTTCAGCTAAAACACAACCTGGTGGTTTACTGTCTGCTGAAACAGAGTAAATGTCACACTGAGCTTTCTGACGCACGCACTGTAAACTCTTCACCGAACCTTCAGTCCAGTTACTTCAGTGTGAAATGTTTTAAATGTTGAATATTTAAATGTTTTATACATGGATCTTTTAATAACTAATTTTCTATATTGACAACTTTTCTTTCGAAAAATATTTCTATGATGTCCTTTAACAAAAATAATGTGAAGGAACTGAAGTGGGCCAAAGACGGAGCCCTGGAGAACTCCACAGACACCTGACAACTCAGTTTTTATATCAATTACCAATAATAACAAACAGCTGACACACTTTTCTGGGAAAGAGGTTGAAAATGTTTATATAATTTTGTAAATCAGATAAATTGAACCATATGTGGAGTCAATAACTTAAACAAATCATCCTCAAATGCCTGCTGGTGGATGGATGGATGGATGGATGGATGGATGGATGGATGGATGGATGGATGGATGATGGATGGATGGATGGTGGATGGATGGATGGATGGATGGATGGATGGATGGATGGATGGATGGATGGATGGATGGATGGATGGATGTGGATGGATGATGGATGGATGGATGGATGGATGGATGGATGGATGGATGGATGGATGGATGATGGATGGATGGATGGATGGATGGATGGATGGATGGATGGATGGATGGATGGATGGATGGATGGATGGATGGATGGATGGATTCTGTTTTGTTTTTCAGTTTCAGGTCTGTTGAATTTCATCCTGATGGGAGAAAACAGAGAAACTTTCTGTAGTTTCAGTTGGTCTGTAAATGATGGATGTGTGAAGCTGAGAATAATTGCAGGGCGGAGCAGAAACCAGCCTGAGGGTTTCTGCCTGGCAAGGAGGTCCGACTTCTGACTGAATCTGTGGAGGATTTAACTAGGCTCCTCACAGCAGCTGGCAGTTAGAGAGCAGCATAAGGTTCATGGTTTAAACAGTGATTATAAAATAAAGACACAGAGAGAACACAGCCATATCGATGCAGATGTGGAATGCAAAGTTGTAAAAAACAAGAAAACTTAAAGTTAAATTCAACACAGGTTTTGTAAAAACTAACTAGAAAAAAACAAAAGAACTCATTATGTAAACAAACAATTTTTGAATGGGAAAAGTAAATGCAAATATAGTTTCCAAAAAGTTGGTTCTGCTGGTTGTTCTGCTGGTTGGTTCCGCTGGAGATCACTACTGTCCTGCTTTAGCAACATGTGAAGTGTTACTGTGCCGCTTGGATCGCGACCCGAACCCTCGTGGGTTTGCTGTTGCTTTTACTTTTAACAGTTTCTGTTAAAGTCATTTGAACAGAGTTCTGCACAGCTGCTCCAGAACCCGAACCGGTTCCGGTGATCACTAACTCTCAAAAACATGTCTGCTGACGGCGGGCCAGGAAAATCCGGAGCGGACCCCCCATAAACCGTGGAACATGCCGGGGCCCCCCTTACACAGAGGAAGAGGAGCCGTAAATCTGCAAGCTGGCACTTTGAGCCGAGGCAGGAAGCCTTCCCTTCGGATTTAGGGATTGTTGGTAATCAGATCCAGGCGACTGAAACAGGAGCTGGTGTAAAAGAAGAAGAGGAGGAGGATGTAGAAACCAGCTCTTACATGAGACCATCTGCTCATTAAAGCTGAATGCCAGTCTGCGTTTCCACTAATTGCGGTACCTACCTGCAACCAACCACATTGCTTTAATGCACAAGTCCTGGGGAGATTTTATTGCACACTTAAGCAAAAAGCCGCTCTCAACACAAAATTTCTTGGAAATCCTTCAAAAAATCACTGAGCACAGCAGAGGCAATTTTTGGGGGCTAATTGAGCAACAACAGCAGATTGAGACTCTAAGGTACAGTTTTACAGCAACAGGTCCTGTGTTAGCATCTCTCTGTTGGCTCAGCTGGAAGAAGCATTTTGAACTCAGCTTTACTTCCTGTTTGGCCTCCAGAATTTTAAAAACTTGAAAGTCTAAGTTTGGAGGTAAGGTGGCATTTTGACAGGCCTGGTTCTGGTAAGTCAGGTGGACAATAATTTTGAAACAACCTAAACAGACTGTGGCCACCCTTTCAATAAAATAGCTAACGTGTTTCCTCAGTAAATACTTTGGCACTGAAGAGTGGTGTGGTACCGCTTAGTTACTGTGTGCAGCTGATCAGAAAAGATTCTTTTTGAGTCGGTCAGTTCTGCTCACCAGCTGATTTCTTTAACACTTTAAACACAGAGCAACACAGAAACTTTATCACTTCACTTGAAAAGTGACGTCCTGTTCTTTATTGCCCAGAATTTGTATTTCCTGCTGGGTTTGAGATCGTCAGAACCGAGTTCAGAACCGTTCCGTCTGAAACGAATCGGCAGCAGGAATTTCCCTGAGTGAAGCTCAGTTTTGCTAAAGCTCTTTGCAAAACATTCTTAAGATTAAAACGACATGGATGAAAGTCAATCTGCGCTGACATATGTACGCCGGATATGCAAACTGTAAGGGATAATTCCTCACC